TGTTCAACTCCCGGTAATATTTACACATCCGGATTGAACCATCCTTCTTCTTGACAAAAAGGATCGGCGCTCCCCAAGGTGAGCTACTCAGTCGAATAAACCCCTTCCCCAACAGCTCCTGAAGCTGCGAGGATAACTCCTGCATCTCTAGCGGCGCGAGGCGATAAGGCGCTGCTCCTGGAACCAAATCGATACGAAACTCCACTTGTCTTTTCGGAGGCACTCCCGACACTTCCTCGGGGAAAACATCCAGAAACTTGAACACTATCAGGACCTCGTCAATCGAACTTGGCCTCCCCACGACCACTCGTGTGTCCATCACATAAGCTACAAACCCATGACAACCTTGCTACAAACTCTGCCTCGCCCTGGCAGCCAAACAAAACGCCAACCTAGGACGCGTACCCTCGCCGTACACGGTAAGAACTCCCCCACTAGGATCTCGTATGGTCACCAGCTGTCTCTCGCAGTCAATAACCGCTCCAAACTTACTCAACTAGTCCATACCTACAATGACATAGACATCTCCCATCGTGATAGGAACTAGATCAATCGGGGAACTTGACGCCAAATATCTTGAGCACACATCCTCGAATCACCTTGGTGTCATACACCGATTTCTCATCAGCTATGGAAACCCTCAGGGGGTCGACTCATCACCTCTCGACTAATACTGATGTGCTGACTAAAAGCCAAAGATACAAAAGACTGACTCGCACCCGAGTCAAATAATACCAAGGCAGGTACAGAATTCACAAGAAAAGTACCTACGCATATCATAATATAAACACAATATCTCAACATGAAAGTGAATACATGAAAGAATACATACCAACCACTACATCGGGGCACCGCACGGACCTCCTCTGCAGTCAACTGGAAAGCTCTCTCACGAGCCTTCGGGGCCTCAGCCTTCGCTGGTCGAATCTCGGTAACCCTAGCAGCAGGCGCACATCCCTGCGCTAATCTCTGATGTAGCTGAGGACACTCAGCCTTCCGATGGCCGGTCTGGTTGCAATGGAAGCAAACCATAAATCCCTTGGGGCAATCCCTGGAGATATTCCCCTCCTTGCCACATTTGTAGCAAGCACTCGATCGACAGGCCCCCTTATGTCCCTTGCTGCACTTCCCTCAAGGGCGGCCCTTCTGGCCTCCCGTCCTCGAATCGGCGGACTTTGGTCTGCTTGGCTGCCGATTGAGACTGAGCCGACCACTGATCCATCCTCTGAGACTCGGCCTCCTCCCTGGCCTGAGTCTCCAACTCTATCTCCCTCTTCCGGACATTTTCCTGGAGCTCAGCAAATGTCCGGTACGTTGAGTTCGACATGAACTCCCGAATGTCCCTCCTCAGAATACCCAAATACCGGCTCATCCGTGCCTGCTCAGGGCAGAACATCGCCCTCTCATGAAACTTCCGAGTGACCACAGTAACCGAATCATTACCCTGCTTGAGGGTCCAGAACTCCTGAATCAGTCGTTCCCTCTCCACCGGGGGAGCATACTTGTCTCCAAACATAACGGTGAACCTCTCCTAGGTCATTGCTGAAATCTCTACAAGAGTGAATGAACTTCCACCAATCCTTCGCTCCCAAGCAAAGCTGGTTCAAACCGAACCGTACCCTCAGATGCTTCGGACATGAACACATATAGAAGCATCCCTCAAAGTTAGCAATAGGATCCTGCGTCCCATCAAACTCGGGTGGCTTCGTATTGCTGAACTCCCGGAACAACAACGAGTCACCTCCCTGAGGTCTGGTAGCAGCCACAGCTGCTGTAGCTGCAGCGGCTGCGGCCTCAGTCACCACGGCGTAGCACTCATCAAAAGTCTCCAACAGTGTGATCTTGATAGACCCAAACATCTCCAGAATCTCGGCCCTGATCTCCACAGCCACCTCATCGTGGATCATCTGACGAAGCTCCTCGTCACTCACACCGCTCGCCTCAGGTCTGTGGCATGTCCCAACCATGATGCCTCTGAAATACAACATAAAAATATCAGAGACTCGATCGAGCCTACTCGCACTCAATAACGCAACCCTACCCAGCCTCTAATACCCAAAGGATTCTTACTTGGGCTATCCACTGATCCTCTGTCTTGAGTAGTACGAGACCTATACTACTGATTACACTGCATTAGCATGCACCCCAAGTCATGCTCCTTAGATCCCTGAATGCAAGTACTCTATCCTCGCTATGCATTGGCTACCTACTCGCTCTCAATGATTTTCATAGCAGTAGGCTTCTCCTAGACTAAGGCATAACAAATCAGGCCAATCTAGTCCTAATATGAATACCTAGTCTACTCTAGCATGCATAACATATCATAGCATATCTCATAACACATATTGTAAGGGTATTTTGGGGATTTTACCGTTCGGGAGTTGGCTGACCGTACACACTGCTCCTTCTTTGGTTATCTCAAAACCTCTTATAAAACCTTATGCTTTTATTATTGTAAAATTTTTCTCAAATCCTTGGTTTGAGTTCAGTTACGCCCGAAGGTGCACCCGAATCTCTCAAACCAAGGCTCTAATACCAACTTGTAACGACCTAAATTTTCAAAACAAATTTTCATTTTTCAAACAACATAAAACATCATTTAATATTCTCAAATCTCATGTTTAGCAAATGTCATCATAATAAAAATACATCCCAAGATCATAAATAAATCTTCCGTCAGTGTGTACAAATCATGCTAGCGCCTTCCCACGGTCCTCGCTAGTACCTGAAACACATAACACAACAACTGTAAGCATAAATGCTTAGTGAGTTCCCCAAAATACCACTTACACACATACGCCCTTCCAGGCCATGACCTTCTGGTCCATGTGTCTCAGGGGACTTCCGTCCCAACAAGGTAAACCTTCCGGTCCTACCCGTGTCAACCTTCTGGTCCATAACTCCCTGATGTTCCGGTCCACATCATACTTCCTTCCGACCCATAACATAATGCCTTCTGGCCCATAACATAATGCCTTCCGGCCCGTATCAAGCATAACATACATAGTACATACAAAATGGGTAACTAATTACATATAATGCATATATCATATAGCATATCAAACCTTCCGGTCACACATAGGTACCCTTCCAGGTACAGTATAGTGAGAAGACTCACCTCTGATATCTTAGTAAGTCACTGACTCGGTAGAAATACGATCTAGCCTCTGCCTAAACACATAAAGTAATATTCTCATAAATATAACTCTCAGAACTAAACTCTACTTTCTCTAAGTTCCCTTAGAAGGGTGAAAGACCATTTTACCCCTCCTTTGGCTCAAAGTCCCTCGTTGTTGACCAAACCCTAAAATTCAACCAACGTCAACGGTCAAACTTTGACCCGACTCGGTGAGTGCACTTGGGCAACTTGGCGAGTCCACCTGTGTCCACTTAACTCTTTTAGTCCCATCTAACATGTTGAGTCCCTCCCTTTACTCGACGAGTCCCTAGGCAAGAATCGTGGGGCTACCCTGACTCATCTCGCCGAGTCCCAAGAACAACTCGGCGAGTACATGCCACGCACAAGTTCTATTGACCCCCCTGAGGTCAGATCTATTCCTCAAATCCATAGATCTGACCTTCCCAAGCAATATAATCACGTAAAGGTCTAAAAGCTTAGATTGAGGTTTTAATCATCTTTAGTCAAGGATATATATGAATTTTGTGTTGGAATGGCTCAACATAAGGAAAGTCTATATATGTATCTATTATTTTCATTCTAAAATTCAATTATGATTACGGCATCCCTTTTCATAATCTGAATTAGGAGAACTTGGAAAATAGAATTATTGTAGAAAAAGACTGGTTTAGAATCATGTCTTTATGTGAGATATCATGAATCGTGTCCCATATGCTTCGGATATAGGATCGATTACATGTGCTATAATATTCATCCTTTCTAAAAAAATTCCAAATTCGTGGGGCATTAAAGAAGGGAAAACGTCTAGAATTGGATATAATTAAAATGATTAAGCAATTGTCAAGGACAATCTAAGGTTACCAAAGATTGGTTGCTCAGGGACTGTTGGAAGTATAATGTTAATTTTTGGAAGGACCATATTGACATATTCTGAAAAGAGGCAACTCTTGTTCAGAAGTGAGTCAAAATGGGAAAATGGGAAGGTGAAAGTTGTTCAATAAATCTGTGTAAGATTAGGAAACTTAATGCAAGAAGGATGTTTCCAAGGAGTTGATCTCCTTTGGAATGCTCTGTAATGTTTGTTGTCAAGTCTTTTTTTGGCTTTGTGCATAATCATTACAAGAGGATCAATGAATATAAGTTTAGAATTTAACAGATTTATGTGAATGACATGAATTTGGAATTCCTGCATTTGCGGTAAGGATTCAGGACTGTGAAATGAGAATCATTGGAGTTATGTGCAATCGATCTATTTCACAAAGTAAAGATCATAGACAAACTTAGTATGTATACTTGGTGTATGGCATGACTAGTGTTTAGAAAAACATAGTGTACGTGCTTGGAGCATGGGATAACTATTGTTTTAATTCAAGTATAAAGTTGATTGTTTGAAACATTATGCAATGAAATATGGTGATAAATAAAAGATATTTTATTTATATTCATAAGTTCTGACACCATATTGGATTCAATTATTCTTGTGTTTCACTTTGCATGTTTTGACTTCCAGAATAACTAGGTCGTTCTTCCTGAATGACTAATTTATTAAAACCATCCACAGTCGGTCATATGTTGGAAGTAGATTTGAATCAAGACTGTTATGGTTGGCATGTTTTCGACATATGTTTGCATACCCTCAAGATACATAGAGCAGAATGTCAAAGCTTCGTCAACAACATAACCCTCTGCTATTTAACCTTCTGGTTTGGCTTTCTTTCTAACATAATTTTTATGTTTTTTCATATATATTTCAAAAGGATACATCCATCTCATTTGTACAGGCCCTCTAAGAACGGCTTCATCAGGTAAATGAAGAATAAGGTGAATCATTATGTCGAAAAATGTTGGAGGATATATCAACTCAGGATTCCATAAGATCTTCACCACTTCTGTTCTGGCATTTCTCAAGTCATTAACATCCAATGACCGTGCACAAATATTTTTAAAGAATACACACATGTCAATGATTGTTCTTGAAACATTTGATGGGATACATGCTCAAACCCCTATAGGTAACAATCGTTTTCATGAGGACGTGATGATCGTGAGACTTCAGCCCAACCAAATTTGATTCAGTATCATTAACCTTCTTCTTAAAGTTCGATCCAAAACTATCAGGTAGTCTAACTCCTTTAATGAATTGACAGAAACATTGTCGATCAATTGGTTTTTAAAGAGTAAGAAGCATGTGTGAGTATTTCTTTCTTCTTGTTTTCTTCCTTGTTATGTTTCTTCATCTTCTTGACTTTCTCTTTTGGCCATTGATCTGGTCTAATGCCTATATTTTTCAAGTCAATTCTTGCTTCTTTTTTGTCTTTGCTTTTATCGTTCATCAGTGTAATATTCAATACACCCTCATTCACATTCTTTGAAACATGCATAACATGGAAATTGTGTTTTAGGTCGAGGGAAGATGAATACTCAAGCTCAAAGAAGATACTTCATTTCGTCCAATTTAACTCTCTTTTTTTTTTCAGCGTCGCACTTTCTTTTCTTGCCCCCATAATCAGGATGATTCCCTGGAATTCGATCAGAGATACAATTTACTTGATTTAATATAGTTGCATTACTGAATCTTCTAGGATGATGGCTTGTCTCAGGTTCGCCATCAAACAATACTCTCCCTCCAACTATGGTTTATATTCAAGAATCGTCTGTGACCAGCATAACACATCTTGTTGGTCACATAAACGGAAGATGTGTCTTCGTTACAAGTAG